TAATGCATTTAAAATTATGTTTTCTAAAAAATGTATAATATAATTAAATTTTATAATATGAATTATCAAGCTAAATGTTAATTTATTAACTTAATAATATTTACCTTAAGTTTCTACAATATTATTCTTAACCTTATATATCTATGTTTTAGTCAAGATTAGTCAAAATTGTTTAAATTGTCAAGTAGAATTTGGTTCCCTTAATTATACAGATAATTATTTTAATAATAATTTATTACCGAAATTCCAGGAACAAATCGTGGCCAAGATAATAACACCAAGGTAAATGAAAAATGCTTGTGTACTCAGATATAAACCAGCGATGAAATACAAAATCGTTACAAAAATAATATTCAGTATTGAACCTATAGCCAACTGTTCAATCAAATATATAATGTTAATAGTTTCGTAATACATGTATAATATGACAATGAATATAACTGAACAAGTCTATCTATATTTCTATTAATCATAAGATTTTTCATAGCTTACGAATAAAGCATAAATTATAAAGAAATATGAAAGACTGATCAAGTTATTTTCAATCTCATAAGTTATACAGTATGCACAATATACATCATTTAATTTGTTAATAATGTTATGTTGACATTTGTAAAATTAATTATATAATACAGTATTGATAATAAATTATATTAATCATAATAAATAAATATTATACTTAAACATTACCTGGGTAATAAAGGTCGCCAATATATATGGGAACAAAGCGTACGTACGGTTGTGGTGTTCCCTAAAAAGTAAGGCTTCCTCTCCTATTAATGTCTATAATATTAAATTATGTTTATTTAAATATAATATGATACATTTAAAAACTATCTATGTAGAAATTAACAATGTAATATTGTACAGGTACAAAACAATGTTTTCCAATTTAAAAGCAAAAATCCAAATTGTTTAAAAATGTAATTGTAAGTGTTATTAAGACATAGTAAGCAATTACTTTAAAAATGAAATAATTATGCTTACAATGAGTGCGACCATTGATTGTGTCATTGAAGTTCTCGTTAATATCATATTAAGAGCCCCTTTGATATTATCGACGTTGGAGTAGTCATATCCCTGTCCGTAGTAGAGTATCCCAAATAATACTGTCATACTCTGTGTAAGAAGCAATTTTGCATAGTTGATAAATTTGTATCAATTACAGTAATTGTATATTAATTTCTAAATCATTACCACCATTACAGCAAGCCGAGTTTGGATCAAATGGGGATTCCGCATGCAAACAATGTATGATCGCCACAATACAGTAACCAGTTGTTGCCAATAACCAGCCCTATAGCCCGACCCCAGTGTTGCCAAGTTTAATGCACACATATTATGCACATTATATCCAGAGTTAACTTTATTTGCATTCCATTCGAGATAATTATCACATATTTCCTAAATATTAAGGCAATTTAAATATATATATATAAATATCTAATTAAATGCATATTCAAATATTACATTGATTTTTCTTTTTGTTTGCGCATAATTACTATCCATTATTGCTATTTTGGGATAAACGATATAAAGTGATTGAAATATATTAGGCATATGAGTAAAACAAACCCAATTCCCGTAAATAATAATCCGACGGATTGTAGGTTTTTGGGCAAACCTATTGAGTAAATATTAATTTTATTTTTAATTAAATAAATATAATTATAATTATAATATCAATATTACTAAGCCTTGCGATGAAAAGAAATCTTTTGCTTCGCCTATAAATGCAATGAAATTATTATAAATTTATAATAAATTTATATAAAATATGAATACCGATGGACCCCATGAAAGCTACCCTTCCGTCGGCCATA